AAATATCACTAATTATAAGTTTTAGCGACAATTTATAAAAATTGTGATAAAAAAAGTCACTAATTGTCAATTTTTAACGACATACAAAAAAAAATTGTCACAAAAACTTATTTTTAATAACTATTTTATTACGACTTATTTTTAATAGAACTTGATAGTAATTAAATCTAATTATTAAGACTTATTGGTAATTTACTCTTCTTTTTTTTTTTTACATATATATCAAAATATATTTTTACTTTTTTGACCGAAAATATATTTTTTACTAAGTAAAAATTATTTTATAAAAGATATATACATATAATTTCCATATTTTCTACCACTCACTAAAGTCGATGTAAAATAGACCCCATTTGGCAAGTTGGAATGAAGGTAAAATAGTCAATAAATGAAAATATTCAATCACATAATTATCTCTATTTTTTTATATAATTTTTTATAAATATTTTATTTTATTTTATAAATATATTTTTAAATATTTTAATTTTTTTTGTTATGTGTTTGGTTACAATTTGAGTGTGGAGTTATTTTTAAATTTAAAATATTAACATTTTAAATTATTTAAATTTTTTGAATATTTATTTTGAAAAAAAATTATTTCCTTTATAGTATTTTCAATTAAAAAATTGATTAATGTTATTTTCTGTTAATAATAAATTTTTTTAATTGAATTTTAAAAAGAGTTTGGTTATAAGTGTTAATCAGAATTTTCAATAATGTGAAAGTAGTGTGTTTTGTTATGAGTTATAACAATTTGAATTAAGTTTTGAAAACTCTTTCCAAAACTCATAACCAAACAAATTTTCTTACTTCACATGTCAAATCAAACTTTCAAAACTCAATTTCACACTCAATTCAACACTCTATTCAAAAACCATAACCAAACAAATTTTCTACACTCAAATCATAATTTCACAACTCACAAACTCAAAATACAACTCATACTCTCAAATTATATTTACAAAACTCTACCAAACGCAACCTAAGTTTCTAGTTTACAGTTGCCTTTTCATATTTTTAGCTCAGTTATTTTCTTTTTCACAGAAATCCATTTCCTAGCTTGATGAACAAAGTAAACATGTATGGCTGTATGCATTCTAACCAAGTGCTCATATCATTACTCAGAGAAGAGGCGGCTTTAATACTATCTCAAATATGGAGGTGAACTCTCTAGGAGGCTCGCTAAACATATCATAAGATGCTCTAGATGTTTGTAAAGCATTAATTTGTTTCAAGCTGCCCAACATAACAACCAACTCAATAGTATTTGCAAGTTTGGAGGAATTTTTATTTTTTTAAAATGGGAAACCACTGCCTTCTTAGAACTTAACTTTCTAGTTTACAGTGGCCTTTTCATATTTTTGTTGCTCAAGTTTGTCTTGGTCAGCACCTCCTTTCTAAAGAAGTTTGTTTCTCAAATACTTGTACCTTTCTGCATAGCGAGAAGATAGTGGTGAAGCACTCTGATTCTACTATTAAGCATCTTGATGGCACTGTGTATACCCGTAAGGTGAGCAGCCACTACAGAAGAAACACAAGTTTGTCAGTCCTCCACACTTCCGTTTCAGAAGAAAAAACTTTTACGAAAAAAAAGGGGGGCAAGTACTCACATTGAGTTGCAGCAGAACCTCCATCAGATGGTTTAAGGTGGGCAACATGGTCAACTGAGATCCGTTCGGCTTCTACGGTCTTTGAAGCAACACGAAAATGATTAATCACTCCATTTTGTAACATTTGCGTGAAATGAATGATATAACAAAGAAACAAGACAAACCTCAATAGTGTAGCTAGAACGAACAAAAATAAGCTGTGGAATCCCATCTATGACATGCAGCTCTAGAATTGCATTGATTAGTCCCCACAATAACAGAAAGTGTTAGGGCATCCATAACAGTAGCAAAAAAAAAAAAACAACGCCCAATTAATACACATATGAAGTAATGATGCTACGACGCCTAAAATAGCCATGTGATAAATAATTTTGCCAAATGTGATTCAAAAAACATAGTCTGCAAAAAACACCATTACATCCTTTAACAAGGTGGCCAACTTAGAAAGCCGTGTCTAAGGTCTCTACAAACTATTTGACTATTTAGGAAGAGTTCAGAAATTAGATAAATAATATTTGTGCTACAATAAACAGACATGCTAGATAAGTCAAGCAATATCCTATTGTCAGTATACTCACTAATATCACTTTGACAAGTCACGTGATACCATTATTAGGGTATAAATCTCAAGAAATTTTGAATGGTTCTAGCATCTGCAAGACTGCAACAATCACTGCTTGCTTGTCATAATGTTGCGTATTTTTACATCAGAAACAATACTAACAAACAGCTAACTTCCTATTGTACGACTAAAAGAGCAATCATGAGTCTCCTGACAGCAGTGGCAACAAAATAAGTCACTTGACAATGCACTAAATAGTGTGGGGATGGAAAGGACCTAATCGGAGTTTCTAAGAAGAGACAGTGAGCTTAAGCTAGCTGAAAATGCAGATTCTAAAGGGTAAAACATGATGTGTGCTGCCAAATGTGGTGGATTACAACATACAACACCATTCTTCATTGATAAGCCATGCTATCAATATAGGAGGTGTTCAAGAAAATATTACAAATACATATCTAATAAATAAATAATGAGATGCAAGGTATAGGTATCACTCCCTATATATCTACAGTGATGTACAATTCCTCAAAAAAAGTCCCCCCCCTAAAAAAAGAGAAAAGGGTAATATATAACAATATAAGGTAATAATGCAGGTTACATACCACTTTCATAGATAGTCACTGGAAGATCCTTCTGTGCATGATTGATTGAAGGATTGAGAAGAACATAAACAGGGCTTTCATTAATATCCATCAACTGTCACGGAAAAGGCATTCATCATAATCATAATGATTTGGCAAACATTCTTAGCACAAAGCAGTTTCAATGAATCTCATGCTTAAGAACATGCAAAAAGAAATATTTAGTAAACCATGTACGAGATCATGGGTACTTCAAAAAACATGTCATACCCGTATCGGGTACTTACCGGCGTATAGGACCTCGTGTGGTACTTCTGCATACGTACCGGGTACACAAAACACGTACCCAAATTTTTTCTTCTTAATTTTTGGCATACCCAGACGTACCTACTATATATCCAACCCGTACCGTATCTCAGTTGAAACAATATTTTCTTCTACTACAGAGATAAAACTCATTTCACTAGATTTCTTTTTTATTTTTAGTTTTATACTTAGCATGTTTTTAAAATTAAACTATGGCTTGTAAGTTATTTAACATATTCACATTTAATTTTGATTTATACCTTTATTTTTGGCATTAAATATTAATTGTAGGTTGAATCTTAACAAATTAAACCATTTAATTAATTTTTGCATTATTCTAAATTAAAAATAAATATTTTTTTACAAGTGTACCAAGCCGTACCCGTACCCGTACCCGTACCCTACTTTTTTTGGATTTTACCGTATCGACGTACCCGTATCGTATCAATACCAATACTCATACCCGTACCCATACCCATACCCATACCCATACCCATACCCATACCCATACCCGTGCTTCATATACAAGCCCTCCTGCACATACTTTTGCAGACCCTTGCATATTACAATAATATATATCATATATTCTCATTGATAGCTGAATCTTTGCCATTCCACTTGAAATTGAAACTGCATATTGATTTATTTCACAACCACCAGAGCCAACAAATAGATGGTAGCGAACAAAAGCACAGAATTGGCTCCCCTGTATTTATAACAATGAAGCTTGAAAAGATTGTAAAAATCTAATTACAACAACAAATGGAGCCTAAACAATGTTTTAAGTAGAAATTCCAATCATAGCCACGAACTATTAACACACTTTTTATGAAAATAGATATTGGCATCATAGCAACACACCAATACAAGTATGGGTCCAACTAGTGTTAGCTATGAATCATTATGATGTAATTATTGTGATCATGTTATGAACAGTATAAAGTTAAGCATCTCCAATCCTTCATATTTTCTTTCATCAAATTTAAATTTGATGAAAAAGTACATAAATATAATCTCCAATCCTTTTGTGAAATGTTCATCAAATTTAGGGATCAATTGAGAATTCATCAAATTTCAAAAGATGAATCATTGGAGATGATTTTATTATTATTATTATTATTATTATTATTATTATTATTATTATTATTGTTGTTGTTGTTGTTGTTGTTGTTATCAAATTTGATGAAATGGAAGATTTTGAATAAGAGGGTAATTTTGAATAAGATTTTGATTGACAAAAGGATTGGAGTAGTTTATATCAAGTCAAACATTTTACTCAAACTTGGAATCAAATTAGATGAAAATTTTGGTGAAGGGTTGGAGATGGTCTTATGAGTCATTATGGTGTAATTACGAAAGGGCATTCATTATACACTTCTTTAGGGACTTCTATAATAGAATTTCGCTACAAGTATACACTAAAGTATTCATATAAAAAATATTTGCATCCACCACACTTATAATATTTAATTTGAAGCAAGTTTCAGAACTTACAGCTTTGTGGATATGCATATCTGATTCTTCAGCTTCACTCCCCGTAGAATACCATCCCAGTATATAAAAATTGGGAAATACTTTCTTATCTGTTCCAAAAATCACAAGCATAATTTTCAACATCAAAAAAAAAAAAAACCCTAGAGCGAGAAAATCATATATATACGAATGAATAGATATACTGACAAAGTTCTTGCTTCTTCTCGAGGAACGATCGGTCGAGAGAGTGCGAGGAGGGATCGTAGAGGAGCTCGAAGCTGTTAAAGATCTCGACCGTCCGTCCCCTCTGGACGCCAATGACACAGCCGAAGACCCTCGGCGGAGGAGGCGGAGGAGGAGAGGTGGTGGTAGTGGATTCGCCGCCGTTGCGGTGGTTGTGAGGAGGTGGAGGTTGAGACTGAGACTTGAGTCTGGTGTAGTGATCGGAGATGTTTACTATTACCAGTGGGTGGAGCTTGAATGTCAGTCCACTGCTCGACGACGAAGCCATTCGTCTCTCTCCTCTCTCTCTCTCTCTCTCTCTCTCTCCTCATGGTCTAATAAGCTACTTTTTTGGCAAATTATACTTTAGGGCGATGTTACAGACCCCAGCGGGGTGATCCAGACAACCCCAGTCAGGTGTCACTTCTTTATTGACTGAAAATAAAAAATAATAATTTTTGAACCAATGAAAAACAAGCCAGTAACCCCCAACTGGGGGTGTTACGTATTTTTCTTATACTTTACAATTTGTAATACTTAACCTCTCTTTTCTATTAATTGGAATTTATTTTTTATTTTTTTTCACCCATACATTCTATCGGAAAGGTCTTCAAAATCTGCGGCTGAGAGTTAATCGCAGAAATCATCCTCCTATCTGGTTCATTCTTCCATTGATTATCTTCATTTCCTACTAATGGTGACTCATGAGAGACGCTATACTGATAGTTGAGATACTGACTTTCATCGACAAAGGTTTCTTTACTGAACGGATATCCTGGGATAGCTAAGTTACAGTATATCTTTTGATTTCTATCTTCACAGATTAGATGATCATAATTTCCATTATACGCTAATAGAGGATTATTAATAAATTTCCTCCATTTATTTAGCTGATCTCTGAGTGAAAATTTTATACATGGTGTAGACACCCCATTTTTGACCGTCCTAAAGACTTGGACGTCATCGTTTGAACACTCGATGATTGTCTATGCTTGTGTTCGTTTTGAGTTCCTGGAGGTCTCGGTCGCACGTCTTGCCTCAAGATCTCTCAACTTGTCTGTTTTTGTACTTGGTTGTGGACCAAGGACTTGTATTTTTGCTTCTTAGGAAAAAGGGTGGCTTGTTGGCCATCCCTTCAACCCATTGGCCAAGGCATGAAGCCATCGGCCTTGTTTTCCTGATATCGGCCAAAAGTGTTGGCCGATCGACACTCCTTTTGGTCGATCGGCCCTTATGTTGGTCGATCGGCCATGTTTTCTAGTCGAACCCTGTTCATCTGCTTTATGCAGATATTTTATGCCAGCTGTCACAGTTGGCATGCACAATTCACCCCCTCCATACACGTGTATGGAGGGATTTGCCCTTTTGCTTAGATTCTTCAAGAAGCTTTGCTTTTGGTTCTCTATAAGAAAGAACCATCTCCTCCCTCTTAAAGGGTTCAGAAAATTGAGTCTTGAGTGATACATATACTTTTGTATCTATATTCATTTGTTTGATCTTGCTTTGTGCTCTAAAGTGTAGTATTGTCTTACTATTGTACACAAACACACACTAAAACACCATCCTCTTGGAGCTGAGGTCCCTTGAGGTTGATTTCAGAGTTCTTAGAGTGGTTTAAGCTTGGAAAAGTTGCTGGAGCCTTGTTCTTGGAAGTATTCTTCAACGGTGAGCATTCTTGCTTTTAATACCCCATTCTTGCTTAAGATTTTAGCCCTTCTTGCTTATTGTTTTAAGCTTAGCTCTTAACTGATAAAAGTTCTATTTTACTAACTTTAGATCTTTGTTTAAGATCACTTTTTGGTTTGGGGTTATTTCCCCCCTCTTAGGCCTTGTTTGGCTTTGTTTAGAGCCATCTCTTTTGGCCTTTGTTCTTGCCTTTGCATGACCTTTCTACCACTGAAATCCAGAGGATTTTCTGTAGTGAGAAGGTGGTTTTGGAGTCCTAAATAGGAGAAGGTCATCCCCTCTCCTTGTTGTCTTGTATGCTTGCATAAATGGCTTATATTGGTAGTATGTTTGTTAAGCTTGTCTTAACTTCATTTCAGCAAGTATTTGGTGTTACTTTGCCATGCTTTACCTTTGTCTAAGGTTGGTTTAATGGCATTTTGCATGTACCATACACTTGTAGTGTAAATCACACACACTGACTTTATATGCTTCATGTTTGAGCATGTCTTTCTAGCCTATGTTGTGTCCATTTCAGCATGTTCTTGGGCTTGTTTTACCATGTCATACCTTTGTTAGGGTTTGGTTTAATAGCTCCTTGCATGCTCCATGCATTTGTAGTGCATTTCCATGAAATAGCCTAATGTGTCTCATGCTTTAACATATCATTTTAGCATTCTTTTGGCTTAGCTCTGAGAAGACTTTGTTCATGTTTTACCATGTTTAAGGTCTGATTTGTGTTGTTTTGGTCATATATGCCATGCTTTCTATAGCCATAAGGCATTTTTGCTTGTTAGTTTTGAGTGTCCAAGTCACTAGCGTGCTTTACTTGGACCATTTCAATGATTTGGCATCATTTGTTATACTATTTCAGTCCATGTTTCATGCTTGAACACTTGCATTTATCACTCCTTTAATGTTTTAAAGAGTTGATGTTTTATGCCTCTTGAATGGATCATTGTGTATGCTTCCATGCTTAGGTCATTTGGATGCCATCTAAATAGGTTCTTGAATGGATCATTGAGTATGCTTCCATGCTTAGGTCATTTGGAAGCCATCTAAATAGGTTTTTGGTCTTGTTTTACCATACCACAACTTTGTTTTATTGGTTTATGTCATGCCATGTTTCGTTTTGATAGGTGTAGTGTAACACCCCTTTTATAGCCTCGCATGCCTCATGCTTTTGGCATTGTGTTCTAGCTTGTGTTGGCTAGTTTCAAGCATATTTTTGGTCTTGTTTGGACCTACCTTGGGACTGTTTTAAGTCCCCTTGGCCCTTTGGGGCTTGTCTTGCATGGCCTTGGTTTGAACCCCTTGGCTAGCCTTGAGCCTCGAGCCTCCTTGCATATTTTGCTTATGTACTTTGGTTGGTTTGGCACCTTTCCTAGCATCATCTCAGAGCTTGTAGTATTGTCATACTTGCATGCTTTGTCCCCTTTTAAGTGCTCTTGAAAGTTGCTCTCCTATGCTTAGGTCATAGGGCAATTGGCATACATGTTTGTATGTACCTTTGTCTTCGTTTCCATAGCATTTTGGCCACTAATTTGGGCAAGTTTCAGAGCTGTCCACTTTAGTTTAAGTCTATCCTTTCACATGTTGTTGCATGTTTACCTCGCATGTTGTCGCATGCTTATTGCATACTTGGTACATTGTATGTTGTTGCATATTAGTTCCCTTTGCATATTTAGGTTGTATGCCTATTGCATGTTAGTTGCATTGCATAATCTTGTTACATACTTGTTGCATGCTTGAGTTGCTTGCATGCTTAGGTTGCATTGCATTGTGTATGCATTCCCTTTCCTCTTGATCAAGCATGATAGAGGTTGGGGCCCCTTATGTGTTTTGTGCATTTCATTTGATATTGAATTGCACACTTGGCTCATTTGGCCATTATGCATTGAAATGCCTGATTGGTGGTCCGAGAGTCGAGAACTACACACATTTAAGTCTTAACACATGATAAGGGGTGTAGTTGTGCAGACATTGTCTTGTAAATGTATTGACATGCTCTGTTTGTCCTCTGCTACAGCAACAAGAGCTTTTCACAGGAAGAGATGGTCGATCGACCACATTCAGTACCGATCGGCAACAAACATTTGGCCGAGAGCCTTATATTTGGTCGATAACCAGTTTCCCTTAGCTGATGACCCTATTGCTTGGTTGATAACCTCCCACAACACTCAGGGAGTGGTTCAGAAGCATCCTTGAGACTTTTGCAGTTTTCAGAGGTGCAAAGCAGTGCAAACAGAGGTAACATGTGGCATGGCGACGGATTTCCAAACGAAGCCGACCGAGCATGCATTCGTCCCTTTTCCCGAGGCTGTTTTACTGTTTTCATAGCTTAATTAATTTGTTTAATTAGCTAAGGGTTGTGTAATAATTAATTAGCTTGTTAGTTAGTTAATTAGATAATTTGTATTATTCTTTTAGTCCCTCCGTCGAGAAGGCACAATTATGTAATAAGCGTGCGTGTGTGTGATGCATGTCTTGTAACCCCCACATCTTTCTCCCTTTTACTTACCTGCTTTCAGTGGTTAGTTCTAGGGCATATTTCAATTAGCATCCTTATGCTATGCATGTTTGCATCATTCATCTGTATTGCATGCACCAGGCTCGGCGCATTATACTAACTGCATTGTATTTCAATTCCTACATGAATACATGTATTGGGCTGTCGCATCTCATGTGCCATTTTAGATTAGCTGAGCCTATTCTAGTCGCATTTTGCATGCGTTGCATTAGTCATTCTAACATGAACTAGAATCATGCATTGATTACTAACTAGTTTCTTGTTTTGGCTCAGAGTACACTGTAAGTGTTTACGCTTTAGTATTTTGCATGTATGCAAGTGTTAACATGACAGCATGCTTACCATGAGGCTAATTGCTTATGTGATATAACTGCCTGAATGCCTGTGGGTGAAGGTTGGATTGTTCTCAAAACGATTTGCCGGATTTGGACTCTTTGGTTCAGACTTAGAACCGTGACAAATTTGAGAGTTCTGAGCTGTAGTGACCCCAAATATGAACGGAACGGGAGCTCGTTCCTGCCGGGGGCGTTCGGGGACGTCTACACATAGTAATTCTAGTTAATTAACTGGAATAAGAACGCATATGTTTTCAAAAATAAGATATCATGCTTAGTACATGACGATCTTTGATCTGGCGAGCGGGGGTGCTCATAGATGACCTTCCTCAATCGTATCCAAGTTCTCGAGCCGAGGCAACTTTGGTGATAACTGACACGTGGCCTTAGGCACGAGTTAGGGTTTCCTAAATTCTCTCAAAAATAAAATATTTAGGTAGCGACTCTATATCTAGCAAAGCAGTCCATGTTTGGCACTTCTTTCTTAAAAATCAGTTTTCCAAAACGATTTGCCGGATTTAGACTGTTTGGTGATTTATCAATCCCACATCGCACATTGTGAGATCAGATTAAGAACCGTGACAATTGAGTCCGAACTGTAGCATGAAGCCCAAGGGCGCGTCTACAGTTTCTTGGCGACTCTGCTGGAGACTTAGAGAGCTTGACTCAAACTCATGATATTTTGTTTTGTTTACACTTATGTGTCTTTTTGCATCGCATGTGCATTGGTGCGCCTAGGACATCGTGTTTGCCGTATGCTATTACTGAACGGTTTGTCGGAGGCTCGCTTCGAGAAGCGTGCCATAAGGCTGACCGGTTGCGGGC